GTCAACTTCATTAGAAGTACGGCGCGAAGCGTCCAACAGTGTCAAATATTAAAATCAACGTACGAGGTCGTGGAAACGGTCATCTATAAAGGTCATCTATATCATCTATATATTTACAGTAGAGTGGAGGCCCGAAATCGGTCGCTGGTGCTTCCACCTTAGACATAAACGCAATGGCAAGACTTGGTGCCAGTCGTTGACCCATTGCCAATCCTCTTATTTGAGCGTAGTACATTCCGCACAATCTAAAGAATGAGCAGCTCAAGCATTCTTTTAGGAGTGCCACCAACTGCTTTATTTTTTAGCCATATTTTTGGGCCATAGCCATTTTTATTTTGTAGCCACGTTTATTTCTCTCTCGTGTTGTATAAGGAGTTCGAATATGGCCTGCATTGCGAAGTCATCCGACACGTATTGTATAAAAAGCGGTAGCGTCGAAGGACTCCACCACGCACGTGCTGTTGGGCTGCGCTGTACGTACACGATCCAGAAACATCTAGGTATTCGTAAGATGTGCTGGAATGTATTCCAACAACTGGGTAAATATTAGGGTTAAAAACCATATTATCCTATCCGTTGGACCGTCTACACAGCTAATGATAGGTCTACCCTTAAACAATAATAGATTGGTAGACGCAAGATTATCGCTGGATACTAACTGATGAGTTTTTATAAGCAAGTACAATACGAGACATGCTGGTAAGTCAACTTTTAGTTGAAAGATGACTGATGGTTTTAAACCAGCAGCAACTCCTTTTCGAAAGCAAGAACGGGGCCTTATGCTTCGGAGCGGTAGGAGGCGTCGGCTAATCTTTACAATTTGTTACATCAGTTTGCTCTGGTCTAGTTTCCTGCAAAAGGTTCTAGCCCATTTCTATCATGAAAAAGAGTACCTTGGTGATCACCGCCACTGCCATTTGGCGGCAAGCCACTGAATTATTGATTGAACTCTACCGATGCTGCGGTTTGCTATTGCACAAGGAAAGAAAGAAAGTGAGCCGTTATCGATCAATTCCTTAGTGAATCACCATGTATACAACTTCATCGACCATGTAGAGGTGATTGAATGATCACTTGGCTAGCGTGCTGGCATACAGGACACTATAATCCATGTGCTAACTCAGCATTTTCGTCCTCGTAAACAAGATACCTATGTCTGGTATCAGTTTTGCGACCCTGGATGGATGGAACAATTGGTGAGCCTAGAACGCAGGATCGAACCAACAAACAACTCTATCAGTGCAGCACGCCTCTAAGCGCTACACTATATTCGCCTTTGCATTTTTGTATTTGATAAGATAAAGTCGATAGAGCACACGGAACAAAAGTACACTACTGTTAGAAGAAAAGCCGCTATGAAGAAGCGAACTTGATGAGGAAACGCAGTGAATGTTTACCACATTCCATTGCAGAGTTGATCGAAATATTACATGTTACTTTCTTTTCTTTGTTCCTTGTTCTTTGAATTCTTTGTTGTGAAATTTTTATACAGTTGATGAGGAATCTTCATATACTGAGTAGGGACCCCTTGACTATAAAGGGCTTATATGACTGCTTCTATCTCATTTGAGTCAAAGGCCTTCTACAAATCGATGAAAGTGAGACAGAGCGGACTTTTGTACTCTCGCGATACTTCAATGAGTCTTGTTATCGTGTGGATGTGGTCCACCGTACTAAGTTGTTTTGGAATCCCTGCTTGCACAAATGGTTATCCTACGTCACCTACTCTGTCTATCCTTAGGACAAATCTGGTGAAATGTTTGTAGACGACAGACAGCAAGCAGATTAGGCGATAGTGGCCGGTGTCGTGGAGGTCACTCTTCTTGAACAATAACACGGTCTTGCTGGTCTTCCACCGTGTTGGTGCCTTCCATTAACACAGGTAACGTTTGAAGAGCCGGGCCAGTGTGTTTACTAGGACCGGCGGAAGGTTCTTCACGTGTTCTTATCTAATCCTATCCGGACCTGGTGCTGTTCGATTTTTCACCGACGAAATGGCATGTCGGATTTCGGATTTCTATGTGCAACTCAAAATTGCATAATTTGCACCAGTGGTAGAGGCGGTGATTGCATGAGCTCGGGTATAGGTTATCTGATCTCCTGTAAGGCGTGTGGTGACGAATACATTGGCGAAACGGGTAAACCCCTCTGTGTCCGCATGAAAAAACACATAGCCGGCAAAAATAGACCAAATACCCCGCTAGGCACGCATAGGACCCAGGGACATAACGAGGACGACTTCGAAGTATGTGTCACAAACCTCGCACGCGAATCAAGAACACAGGCGCGAAAAACTCTCGAGGCACTCTGGATTAATTCCAGAAAACCGAAAATGAACCGCAGGGAAGAATGCCTCATTATCACGCGTGATATAGGGCAGTATATAAAACTGTTTTTCTGATGTGAGGGGCACATTATACTTCCACGTGATTTCTGTGCGGTTGGTCTCTACGTGACATACTTAGTGGAAACCTCATAGAAAGCGGCGAGTGTGCAAAGCTGTGTTCAAAGTGATTGAAATCTTGGTTTGGAGTTCCTTTGTTTGGTTATGGAGGCGTCTGGCCGAGTAGATTGCAATCAACTTGACCTTTCCAGGCTCTGAGAAAGGCGAAATCCGCCGAAACGTCAGCTTAATCGTGAACAAAGAATAATAACACCTCGCGTTTGCTCAATAAAAATATGAAGAAAATTACTTCCATTTACTATGATGTGGTCTATTTCGTTATGGTACTTTCCATTGGGAGACTCCCACGCTCAGCGCTGAGGGTGGGGTTTTGGAATTGCGACTTACCATGGATTGTCTCGGTCGCCATGATAAACTCAGACATTCGCTCACCCTGTTCGTTCCATTCTAATCCGTGGGTCGCAATGTGACGTTCTTCAGACGTTTTTCTTGGTCCAATCTTGGCGCTGAAATTCCCAATGATGACCTTGAAGAATGTGTGGTCTTCTCTGTAGAACTTTTCTAAGTCCATATAGAACGCTTCGACTTCTTCTTTGTCATATTTTGATGTAGGCGCGTAAACGATGAAGATTGTCAAAACCGGAATTGATCCACGTCTTTTCATTGAGGATAGAGCTTTTGGAATTCCGAGTTACCATAGATGGTCTTGGTCGTCATGATAAACTCAGACAGCCGCTCACCCTGTTCAAGCCTGATGGCAATTTGCCGACCCCGGAGGACAGAAGGCTTGGTGGGCCATGGGCGCGGTGATCGATTCCGTGTGTGTGTCTCAGTAGCGCCTCCAACCACTGCGCCCGGTGGTGTGCGAAGTAACACGCATTGCTATTTAATTGCTTATATAAAAAAATCAGTAAAGCTCTTTTTGGATGTTCACGGTAGTTTCAAGCAACGAAGTTTACTTTTTGACGAAAACAGCGAGAATTTCTTAGCAAATTTCTGAGACCGCCGTTCGGTACTCTTCTAATCGTTATATCACAAATATTTGAAACAAGACCAAAATAGGTTTTCGAAATGCTTTTTTTATCTAACATGTTAGTTCTGTTCGTCACTAGTCTTACTCACATCACCAAGAAATGTCGGACATCTACATGAAGAGATTGAAAACCAGCTACAATACCTACGATTAGGATTTATCAATCAGACAGGTCTCCACGACTTTGCATCATCATAAGTGTTGATCTCATTCTTAGCCACATTACACTTCTAACTTAGGAGTCATAGTTCTTCTGAACGTTTGCTATGCACGAAAGTGACTTCTGTGGAGTAGGTCTTCCACGCTCAGGAAAATCTTGCCTCTTTCCACTTACGCTAGATTGATGTTGTGCTATTTGTTTAGCTCTTGGTTTCTATTATCTTAAATATATTCAGGAGTTTACCTCAAATGTCGATATAATTCTACCGCTTATAGTTCTACCGATGTATTGAGCTCGATACATCGCTAGGCCACAGCGAACCATTGTAAGGGCCAAATATGCATTCAATCACATCCAAACGATTTTGAATGCAGTCGAATGTGTGGCGCTTCCCTCAAGGATTGATTATTTCCGAAAGCTTGTTTTTATATTTCTACAACGTTATCTTACTATATTTCGACGTTAATGACAAAAATCGGTTCAAAATCAGTAACGACTTCGAAGGACTCCATTTCAATAAGGAAAAAAATCAGAAGTAGCCATCTTTAATAGTGCAAAGCGGAAAAGGTTATGTTCTAATCAGCTTAGATTTTTTCGCAGTTGTTCTCTTTTGAAAATAAGAAGTGCAGACAGAAAGTGTTAAATTCTGATAGTGGCGATATCACTTCCAACGGTTTACCGCTTCATCGTAGCTGGGAGGTGTTCTTGTGTGTCGGACTGCAATGTCCTGCTTGGTGGTTTATCCCTTTGGCACAGTCTCTCAAGCTGCTAACGAGTCCGACGTTTCTATCACGAAACTTAGTTAAGATAAACCTATAGCAGGGCCCACCACCGAGCTGGTATCAAACTAATCGCATGGTGGCAAATCTCCTTCCGATCCACAAGGGTGGCGACAACCTATAGTGGTAACGCAGCCTGGAACAGGCTTTCGCCAGGCCGATCTCGGGACTCCAAGAAGCAACAATGGATAGGCCAGCAAAACTGCTAGAAATGGGGATTATCCTGGGACCTGCGCAACCAGTGAGGACGTGCCGTCCAAGTGCCCAAGTGTTCAAGTGGGGGTATATCTCAACGTCCTTCGTTCCTTGGGAAATAATTGTAGGTCTGCTTGAATGTGAAGTCCTGCCGATTATACTTCTTGTTGCAACTTACGATATACTCCCGTTTCTAAATTTTACTCTTCCATTTGCTAATACGGACCCGAGTGGCGCAGTGGTTGGAGGCGCCACTGCAACACACATGTGGAATTGATCCCCGCGCCCATGGCTCGCCAAGTCTTCTATCTCTCCGGGGTCGGAAAAGTGGAATCAGACTTGTCTCGGAGTATAGCAGCACTGGCTCGATACAACGGTAGGCCACTACGAGTCATTGTAACGGACAGATATACATTCAGTCACCTCCAACGATACTTAATGAAGTCGAATGCATGGCGCATCCCTCAGGGATTGATCAACGCCAGGAGCTTCATCTTTTCTTATTTAACTATAAGTTTGAGGAATAATGACAACCAAAATGAATATAACCACAATGTCGCTGAGATATTTACAAAACTCCGGACCACAGGTGTCTAAGGTGGAGAACGAATGCGCTATTGTTTTTTCCGGGGAGTAAGGCGTTCACCACCACACTAAGCGGGTACTTCGTTTCGTTAGTCCCTCAACTAGTTTTATCGATTAGCGCCATCAGCAATCACCTGTGGTCCAAAGTTTTGCAAATATTTCAGCAACTTTGTGATTGTATTTCGCATAGTGCCTGCCGTGAAAATTGTAGTAGGCAGAAAATAAAAAGTAAAACAAAATGAATACAATTGAAACTCACAATGTTGAACTTTTCATTTACTGCCTTTTTACTAGCTTTTAAGGTGATTGCTGATGGCAGTGTTCTATAGTTCTATCTGAGAAACAGGCGAAACGAAGGACCCGCATGGTGTGGTGGTGAGCGCGTTACTCCCCGGGAAGGACAATAGCGCGTTCGTTTCTCACCGCAAACACCAACGGTCCGGAGTTTTGCAAATATCTCAGCATCCATTTATAGTTTTGGTTAAGAGTGAACTAATACCAGGTATCATCACCATCCTGATATCAAACTACTAGTATGGTGGCAAATCCGCTTCAGACCCACAAAAGCGACGACTGCCTGAGGTGGTATCGACCTGGCGAAGGCTACGGCTAGGCTAACCTCGGTACTCCAGCAAGCCAGTAATGCTGCAGTCTCAACTTTCAGCGTACTGCGTGCTATCGTCTTGCGACGTAATACTTTGAGATAATCGGTGACAGCGGATCAAATCTCTGGTTGCACAAGGCGTCATTGGAACCGGAAAAAAAGAAGCAACTTTACAGCACGCAAAACAAACTGTTTCTTGCTCTGCACCTATAACACTATAGCATTCTCTGCAGACAATAACCTTTACGTTCATCTTGAGGCCGCCGGTCGCATCGAATTTCACGCAATTGCCCTACAAGAGACTAAAAGAGCGAAGACCGACATAAACCAATTCGATGACGGAGTCCTTGTTGCGCCTTTCGTGGAAAAAAATCGTGATTACGAAATGTCGGATATTCGCTTCGTCTTCCCTCTGTTTCGGACATCACCTGCATTTCCTGAGTACACCTGATTTCATACGCAATCCCATCATCACACTTCATCATTCTTCGTGTCTAAATTCTGCCAGTCAGTATCATCAATCGTGTTAAGTTTGGGAATTCATTTTTCATTTTCATTTCATTCATTCATTCAATTCATTCATTTTCAATATAAAAGAAAAAGAAAAAAAAGGCTTCCGAAAAAGAAAAGAAAAAAGGCTTTCAGAAAAAGTCTACACTGTTCACAACAGAACACTGAAGCAGCGTCTATCCCGACATTGTACACCTATATCCTTCTGTGCATTTTATTTATATCAGCGAAGACAGACTCAACAGACTACATCACACACAGACCCACTAAGGTTACCTTCGATCGGCGTTCATGTTCTCATTCCAGGGTGTTTAACTAGATGTCCAACCAACAGAGCTTTTACCAGCTTCACATTTCAGTGAAATGTTTTCGTTTATGCAGAAATTTTCGCGAAAAGGTGATAGCGTATTGCAGTACAAGAAAAAAACTCCAAGAAAAGCTTTATGAATCGGTCCCAAGGTGTTGCTCTTTAAACGGGGAGAATAATTAAGTGTGCTCGCCCGATGTTCGTTAATATGCAGATCCTGTTCTCCGGTTTGCGACTCCAGCTCAGCCTCATACTCAGCCGTTTTCATTTCCAGTTCTCTTAATCACCTATAATAAATATGGACCTCAACACTAATATACTAAGTTTGCATAATTAGCTACTTTCATAAATGGTGTGGACTAAATGGCCTTCAGTTATGAAACCAGATTGTATTAATTCTTCAATATCCGACATTAATTGCTGACTACGATAATGAACTTTGCATGTTTTCCAAAACTACTTCATAAATAATTCCATAAAGGTAACGTTGCCGTCATCTGNCCAAACAATGGCTACCGGACATAACTAGGCAAGTAGCCAAGAAAATCCTATGATGCTCATCGTGTGCAAAGGCTTTCACTATGAATGCAATTTGAAAACTCGACTTTATGTTCCATCTTAACCATACTCGTATTTGGTGGCTTCTACGAAGAGTTCTGATGCCACTTGAACAGAAAACTGTTTCCCTTAGGAATATTTTCTGAAGTTGATGAGGTTTGGAGAATTATTATAGGCTATGAATGTCTGCCAATGAGTTCCATATTAGAAACTCCATAGTTTGTTGAATGCTTTCAAAAAAAGGGTTTCAAAGGTAATAGAGTTTGTCTCCTTTGCGAGCAGGTTGCAAAGACCATTATGAGACAAACTTGTATTCGGTCCGGTGTATTCGATTATAAGAATATGAAGGAGGAACTACATAAAATGAAGAAAAAAGAATGAACCGTATTCGGGCTAGCCACTGAACAAATAAGAAATTTGACAGTCCCGTTCAACTTATTCAGCCGCCTTCCCAGCACTCTCTTACGAAGCGATGGCATGGGCTCCTATTTCAGCTACGCTAGGAGTTTTGGCATATGACCAACACTGGGCCTTAATCGTCTTAAGCTCAACCATGACTCGCGATGTCTAGCCAAAATGCGTTCCTCAGAACTTTGGAGTCCCTCCCTCCCATCTAGAAGATCTAAAAGAATACACTCGACGGCAAAAATAGGTGTATTGGACCGATAATAACAGATGAAAGGTGGACGAAAGATGAAAGAAAGAAGAACAGTAAAGTGGATTACAAGAAAATGTAAGGGTGCCGTTAAGCGATCCAAACTTTGGGCAGACGCCTTCTTGGCTCATGTCAACCATTGATCCGTATCCGCAGATGGAAAGGACTTATGGATTACGTAATATTCCTTGCAGACATCACTATGTTCGAAACAGAGCATTCATCATCATATTGTCTATCCATTCATCATTGCACTGATTGAACAACCACCTGAGGGAGGAATCCTGAACGATCAAGTGTCACAATTCAACTACCTTTGAAACGCTCATTTGCAGATGATTTGGACCAGTTTCTGTAGAAGTTCTACAAACTGTCAATGCATCACATGAAACCTTATATATGTTAGAAATGGTTAGAATACAAGCAAACGTGTAACACGAGTAATGTATAAAAGCTAAACAATAAGAGAAAAAATAAAAATCGTGCTGAAACCTAGGCAATAAGAGCTAATTAATCTTCTTGAACAGAAGAAATCAGTAGTGTTATTTAAAAATTGTGTGGGTATAGAAAAAAAGCTTTTGAAAAAACGTGAAACCACAGCTAGCATTTTGTACCTCAAAGCGCAAGCACTGTGTGGCAGAAAGGACGACAAAGACAGGTATTTCTTTCCATCTCAAGGCAAAAATTAGTAAGGTTACAACTGACAAAAATAACCGCAAAACAAACCATGCAGCTTTCTCAAGCATCTCCGCCTGCTGTTCAGTTTTCTGAGCGAGTTTCTGTGCACCATTCAACACATTATTACCATTTTCCAGCTTGCTTTCCACATGGAGTGCTTCCTGCTTCACTTGGATATATAGTGGGCGCTGATAGGAAATTTCGCTTTCCTACAATCATATGTTAATAAAGTATGGTATTCTACAAAATAACTTATAGCGCTTATGCTGTAGGAAAGAAGAGCAGAATTCTCAAAACAAACACCACATTACTGCACGGAAAGTGCGGAAATCGCTAAAATGTCGGAGAAACGATGACAAATGTAAGCATAAGGTTGTTCTTTAAAAGAAAAACCAAGAAAACTCACTCACCTAAGAAGAAATTTCCTTCGCCAATCGAAGGCCATGCGGCTGCGCTCTCTTCACCACTTCCTGCCTCTCACTTACTAATTCTTCAGTCTCACTATAAAGAGAACCGATTTGCAGTCAGTCATACAGCTATTGCTATATCTTCGAAACAAGGCATACACAGAGGAAAATAGTTTGTAAGTCGACGCTTTGGAGCTTCCATTCCAGCTACCTCGTTTCTCTTTTGCACTAGTTCTTAATCGGCTTGTTTATCTCGGCGCTCGCAAAGGAACAACTCAAGTAGAAGAAGGAGTCGTTAACTGTTTTCAGCCAATACTCACCAAGTCATCTTTCATTTGTTGATCTTTCTCAGCCTTATTCCGTTCCAACTTGACTTCTCGCTTCTCCTTGGCAATAGCTCCTTGCTTGTTCATCTTTTGTAGAATGTCATTTTCCACTTTTCGCAATATTGCCTTCAGCCAGTCATATTCTTCTTGAAGTTCACAGGACCTAACAATATTCTATTGTGGCCAGACACCAAATGCCTGCATCCTCGCAAAATATTCTCAGCTCCACCTTTTAGTTCAGTTGTAATTCGCGTGAGTCAATCAAAGCAACTGAAATGTCATTGAAGAGACAACGAATGAACGTTGCTCACATCGCGATTTCTTCGATCAGAGCTGTACGTTCCTTAGGGCTCTTCATAGCAATAGATTCTATTTGACCGTGCAATTTCAGTTCCTCAGAAGACAAAAAGTACGCTCTAAGAAATAAAGCAGCTATCGAAGGAATGATCTGAAGGAAACACTGCTGCGCAGAAAAGACCTGGAATTTACACAGAAACAATCGATAATAGTCACTACAAAGTAGAAGAACGTAAATGTGAACTTACATAAAAATCCGCATCAAAAAAACTCATGTTGAAGAAAGTCAGAACCACACCTGCGAAGAACCTAGTGGGAATCACGCGACATCCAATTTCGTTAAATGTCATGAAAGAAATTCGAAATCGCATAGATGAAAAGCGGAATGCATATAAAAGATAAATAAAGGATAAAGCTCTCAGCGTTTATCGATCTCTTATTTCGTATCGGAATCTAACCCATGTGCATTGCAGGGAACCAAGGACCATGGGCCACACGCGCCTGTTGGAATGCACATAAAGAATAAAAGAATGAAGCTTTTGGCGTTCATCAATCCATCACGGATGCGTCATGAATTCGACTTTATGAAGCATCGTTTGGAGGTGATTGAATGTATACCTGACCCTTATAATAACTCGCGGTGGCCTAGCGATGTATCGAGCAAGTGCTGCTGTATTCCTAAACAAGTCTGGTACCAATCTGCCGACCACGTAGAGATGGAAGGTTTGGTGGACCATGGGCGCAGCTATCGACTCCACATTTCCGAAATGCACATACATGCCCAATAACTATGATGAAAAGCAACTTTGGTTAAATATCGAAGAAAACTGAATGAATCAAAATAAGGACAACCTGTCCATCGATACAGAACTCAGAACTGGCATCAGTTGCTGAACGAGGAATCTTCTCTGACGTCCATCAGCTTTCTCGCAATTTATTGTTACAGAAGAACGACCCGGCACCGATTTGCCTACGGGCGCTGCATGGATGAGATTCTAGACGTAAGCATTAGAAGCTCAAGTGAACAACACATGGTATAAGGTAGGCGATAAAATTTGTCAGTTGAATCCGGCCACTTAATAGGTGAAACTTACTCCTAATTTTCTAACGCGCAACTTCTTGGTTTTTCCAACCTGCACAAAACTAATTCCGTCCATTAAAATTGATTTACCTGCAACCCGACTTAAGAGTTAAAGGGCAAGAAAAGTTCCTCATCAACTGGACAAGGTCCAATAAACCGAGCAGGGATAAAAAATACTTGCTCTGAACGTTCATACCAGAACAATTTAGACCAATCATCGCTGCGAATCTCGTAAACGAACCGACCACATGTCTTCATCGATACGATTTTAATGCTTCCATCTTCACTGTGTGCAATGCATCTATTATGCAATCTGGTAAAACCTGAAATGATACTTGGATGAGAACCTCCATAAGAAGAGCTGAAGACAGCAGATAAAAGGCCGTAGATGGCAGTTGCACGAACAGATTAATAAAGAAAACATTTATGTATAGGCGTGTACACACATATCTCCATGCATACACATAATGCACATATATATATGTATATATACATATGCATATTTTTATACGCTGTATGTACAATCGTATGTACACGTACACATGTGTATGTACAGTTGGCTTGGATCTAATTAAGAACTCCCCCAACGAATGAAATGTTCAAACAAGAAAACATTTACGTGATAATTTTAAATTTGGTAAAAGCGGACCACCGCGCGAGACTTGCAATTTTTCGGATGAAGAAAGCAGTGGTGCTGTGACAGATAGTAGTGACTGCATTCTCAAGTCGATATGAAGCAGGACCAAACACTTTTACCAACTGTACTTTTCTTCAGCACACCAATAGCCCTTACTTAGCACACTACAGTTACGATAACAGTCAGATAGATATTGAAGACAAATCGACTCCAATCAATCCGGCTCCGAAGAAGACGAAGACGTAAAGACGTCAGCAGAACTGAAGGTTTCAACAGCATCGTCTTCGCTGAATGATTTCATAAGGTATTTCCTATTTGCAGAGAGGTGGAATGGAAGTTGGTTTCAAGGAATGTTAAAGGCAGGGTTATTCTACTGCGTTCACCGAGAAAAAGAAGGAAAGGAATTTAGACTGTACTGCGTCTTTCGTAGTCCACATATAATAGAACAATTGGTATAAACTAGATTTCTATAACTTTGATCCCTTCAAACTCCCCGAAACGTCCGGAATTTTGAACTAAGCGACTATTAGAACCAGGTCCAGTTAGTGGACTGTAACATATTCAAAGTGCTTATTATATAGCACTAGTGCATAAAGTGCTATATATACTATATAATACGAAATAAGGATATGAGTAGAAGGATCTCGGCGTTCATCAATCCCAAAGAGATATGCCATGCATTCAACTTCAGTAGGCATCGTTAGAAGTGATTGAATGCAAATCTGGCCTTTACAATGATTAGCAGTGGCCTACCGATGTATCGAGGCAGTTCTGCCTTCCTGAAGACAAATCTGGTACAAGTTTGACGACACAAAGGCATGGGAAGGTTGGTGAGGCTAAGGAGGGAGTATCGATCCCATGCGACGCTACGTCTCATCAACTAATTTGTCATTGAATTTCAGGAGAAGGGTTCCAGTTATCGGAAAGCTCTAAATGTGCCGCATTGGAATAGAATTATCTTGCAAAATAATAAGAATAATAATAAGATTGCAAGAAGAAGGAACTGATGCGGACACTCGGGTCGCCGTAACTTTGAAGAACGCGTTCCGTCGCAATGTTAGCCATAACAAAAATTTGTAACAAACTCGTTCAAGATTGGTAATGAAGCAAGACAACGACTGTCTATTCGTAATACAATGCAAGTCGGCATTGGAATCTTTTTTTATTTGTTTTGTAAGTGATAAATAATGTCAATATGGTAAAGCCTACTTGATGCGACAGCATTTTGTATCACCGTGGAGCAGTACAAGACGCTAAGGCTAAACTAAGGCTGTATAGTGTGGACTGCTAGCAGAAAAATGACGAGATGTTAGCAAAACTCGGAACTTTAACTGGGTTTTACGCTCGCCGCTACCATCACCAGGTGTTCACGAGCTGTGTTAAGACACTGTGATTTGTATTGAAGCTTGAGGCTAAACGGGGCCTAATGCCAGCCTGGCTCGCAGATCACTATCGCTCACTGGTTAATGCTAGTTGTATCAATATAGCAAAAAACAAGGGCAACAGAAAGGCAAAACGAGTGTTTCGATTGGAGTGTTGGATAACCCGTGAGGTTTACGTAAGGACAATCGCAGGTTCGAAACCCACTTGGACTCGCGAGTTCTGCTCTCATCTCAGCATCCTTGTAATTGAATCTCGTGTCATAGTCTCCCATGAAAAAAATAATAGGTAGTGAGCAAAAGTTAAAGCACTCGAGGAAGCACAATTTAATGTCTAAAGAAGGGCTAAAATTTCTTAGAGCTGTAGAGCGGCAAAGATTCATGGGTTCTAGTGCATTTTATTTTAATTGATATAGTTGACTACGAGCTGAAATATATTCGCACGGAGTTGAAACGCTAAGTTACTTCCAGTCATCTATGGACCACATCGGATAGGTTCAATCGAGGTTGTGGCAGTCACA